ATCTACAAACTTAGTACAGTGACTGTAAATAGCACACAATACATACCAGGAGCAAACACATTTTTAGTTTCGCACACAGATGATGATAATCCTGAATTTGGACAACTTCAAGATATATGGTTTGTTGAAGAGCATGGTGTTTTTTTGGTCCTTAAAATTATGGAAACAGTTGGGTTTTGTAGTGCACTAAATGCATATGAAATCAAGGATCCTGATTTGCCTCAAGGCCATGAGATTAAAGCTTTAGATAGATTGTCAACACCATGGATCTACCATTCTTATAAATTTGATAGTCAAGTTTTCATTGTTAAACGAGAACTTTTCGTCTAGTAGTTGACTTTTCCCAAGTCTTGCAAACTTAACTACATGAATACCAGAGCATCTTGCATTGAAATAGWACAAGACCAAAACAGTATGGCAAGACAGTTTCTTTCATTGATTTGCCAAAAGTTAAACAAAACATTGTTGTACGCACAGAGTTCAAATTTTAAGGYCTCTGTAAGGATTAAGGCCTTCTGTTGCGTACACTGACCCATGAGATTGTTACAGTTTATCCTATACTTCTATTGATATTGAGTAATATCTTTTGATGATCATGATACATACAAGTTTCTTTTGTATTCATTTTTTGCAGTAAAACAGTCATCTTGTAGTAGGGTCAAAATGACAGGAACTTRCAGTAAACTTGTCATCATATTATTAGTTTGGATTGATTTTCTATATTTTGTTATTGTTATTTTTTTATCTAAAAAATTGTCACTAAATTGCAACAGAATTTCAAATTATAATAAATTTAACTAACTGACTGTCTCAGAGTATCGATCAATGCATGCATAGGTTTGATGAATGAATTTAAATTGAGAGTATAATGCTTAGAACAAAAACACTCAATTTGAAATTGCTTAAAATAAGAATTCGTTTGCTTATTTTAAGACAGTATGCTCTTATTTTCTTGAAATAARTACAAGAAGTTTGCCATTTTAAATTAAGAACTTTAGTATTCTTATATCAAGACTTAATTTTCTCGTATTTTAAGATGTTCATGTTCTTATTTCAAGATAAAGAATTCTTATTTTAAAATAATCTTTTTTATTCTTATTTTAAGATTTTCATGTTCTTATTTCAAGACAAGGAATTCTTATTTTAAGATAAGAACTTTTGTATTCTTATTTCAAGATTTACTGTTCTTATTTTAAGATTTTCATGTTCTTATTTTAAGACACTTTGTCTTAAAATAAGAATTCAAAGTCTTATAATAAGAATTCAACTTTAAGAGTGGGAGCTATAATATTCTGAAAAAAACATTCTCTATGGGGACTTGAAAATTTTTTGACAAGCCAAACAGAGGCTCAGAAAATTAATGAGATATTTATATGACATATTACGGCATAATAATTGTACTTTCCCTTAGTGCACAAGCCCTAATATTTTAGTAACCAGAAAATTACCTTTGATGTCATCATTATTAGTGTTGTTCATGCATGCTGCAGAAATGTTCGCTGTCAGATCCCAAAAATCCTTTTTCAATAATCTGTGAATTGCTTTTTATTTTTTCAGACTGGTTCTATGCAAGGATTGTTACAGCATTATCACTAGTGTTTTGTGCCATTATCTACTGTGTGGTTTACTCCCAAAGTGTCCCTATTCAAATCTTTGGGGGTGTCTTGGTTGCTGTATTCTGGCAACAAATGGCATTTATTGGCCACGATGCAGGCCATCATGCAATAACACACAATGGCACTTGGGATGATCGCATTGGACTTGTAGTTGGTAACTTGCTTACTGGAGTTAGCATAGGCTGGTGGCAGAAAAGCCACAATGCACATCATATTGTCACAAACTCTATTGAATTTGACCCAGACATTCAGCATTTACCAGTCTTGGCCATATCAGAGAAGTACTTCAAGTCCATTTATTCTTTTTATCATCAAAGAGTAATGCAGTATGACAAATTGGCCAAGTTCTTTGTCACATACCAGCATCACCTGTATTTCCTCGTCATGGGACTAGCACGGTTTAACCTTTACTTACAAAGCTTTCTTTTGGCCCTGTCTAAAGAAAAAGTCAAGATGAGATTCCTGGAACTCCTCACCATGTTTTTGTTCTGGACATGGTATCTGTACCTATGCAGCTATTTACCCACCTGGACAACTCGTCTGGCGTTTGTTTTCCTGGCCCATTTCCTTGCAGGCATCATTCACATCCAGATTACCCTGAGTCATTTTTCAATGGAAACACACMRTGGAATTCCACAGGAGTCATTTAAGAATGACAAGTTCTTGCTGTCACAGATGGACACCACAATGGACATTGAATGTAACCCTTGGATGGACTTTTTYCATGGTGGTCTGCAGTTCCAGTTTGAGCACCACATGTTCCCAAGAGTTGCCAGACATAACCTTCGAGGGATCCACAATGAAATGAAAGCTCTTTGTAAGAAACATGGTCTACCTTTCAGGTCAAAGAGCTTCATCGAAGCCAACATGGAAGTCATTGGTAAACTCAAGGAAACTTCCATCAAGTCTGAATCCTTTTCACATATGTTATGGGAAGGTATAAATGCAATAGGATAAACGGTTTCATTATTCATTTTTGACAATATATATTTCTTTCAAAACAGAGGTGTAGTGGGAGTGCAATTCCTCTCCCAGTTATAGAAATATATTAACTGGTACCATTTTCCGTTTTGTTTGTGTTAAGTACAAATAAATTGACAGTTCTTATAAAAAGCAGTTGAGTAATGTTGTAGACCTCTAACTGATACTGTTAATACAAGATATGTTTTTTTTTT